GATAGAAACTGTTACTGAGCAAAGAACAAATAATTTAAGAAAAATCAGTTCTAGCATTTTTTACATCTTAGTGAAACTCACCCATAAAAGCATGTAAATGGTGGGATCCAAAACCATTTCCTTAAATTATGAATCATTCACTTAAGCAAAAAGATTGGGTTTATTGTGTCTTCAATAATACGCATAGCTACTGTTTATACACAAATACCTTAACACCAAAATATCATTTAAGCCATCTTTTCTCTTAAGTCAATTATCTCAATAACATACAGTCCCTTCTTTTTTAGAGACTGGGTCTCACTCTGTCACTCAGGCTAGAGTGCAGTGGTGTCACCATAACTCACTGTAACCTCAAGCTCCTGGGCTCAAGCAATCCTCCTGCCTCAGCCTCCCGAGTAGTTGGGACTACAGGCATCTACCACCATGCCTAACTAATTTTTCTATTTTTTTATAGAGATAGGGTCTCACTGTGTTGCTCAGGCTGATCTTGAACTCCTGGCCTCAAGCGATGCTCTTGATTCAGCCTCCCAAAGTGCTGGGATTACAGGCATGAGCCACCACGCCTTGCCATATAGTCCTATTTTTAAAAAATGTTTCCCCTATCGATCATAAAATTTCATATTGTAGAGACATTGGAAAATAGAGAAAAGTATAACAAATAAAATATCCAAAATACTATTACTCAAAAATAATCATTAGTGACATTTTCCACATAGTTGAAATGAATGAATATAGGTTTATTGTTTTATTTATCTAAGATTTAGTAAGAGTTCTTAACATACCCCAAATGAAATGTGGTTAAAGTGATCTATTTTCATATACAATAAAGCTTGTTTTGGCTTAAGAATGGGGAGTGTTATAAAAACATTATAATGCAAGTAAAAAGCAATGGCATAGATAAGAAGGAACTGGAAGTATTTCATCCATGACTCGAGGGCTAAATAGATACAAAGGTAAAAATCGTGGGTCATGAAGTCCAAATCTAGTCAGCATCCCAGAGTTTTACAGCAGGACTATGAACAAAACAGCGCTGGGAAACGAATATTGAACATGTGAGTCGGCACACTCCTAAGGGTCCAGATAGTATTTAGGCTTTGCAGGCCGTGTGGTCTCTATCTCAGCTCTCAAACTGTAGCCCGAACACAGTCATAGGCAATACATAAATAGGCACGGCCATGTCCCAGTCAAACTCTATGATTTACACAAACGGGCAGCCGGCCTACCTCGCAAACAGGACACCAGGTTTACAAAATCACAGCAGAGCTGAAGTTGGGAATGGCACAAATACTACACTTTTCCTTCTTATAGATAAACACACCTGGACTGCAGGATCCAAAGCCAGAATACCTGGGTTCAAATTTCCTCTCTGCCAATTCCTACCTCTTTGATCACTGGAAGTTACTTCTTATTAAGTGGCAAATATTAGGAAGCATTAATTAAAATCAACTGTGTACCTCCCTACCTCACTTTGTGCTGCTTTAACTGCCAGTTTCAGTTCCCTGTGTTAACTACTATTCATCCAAACCTTCCCTGAAGGCATGTAAAGCTTTGTGCTGATGGCTAAGGAGAACAGAAAGGTGAGAGACCTGGTCCCTGGCCTCCACCAGACACTGGAAAAGGCCCTGGGTTGTAAGCCTTCCCAGGAGGAATCCTTCACAGGTTGCAGATGGAACGTCATGGTCCACGCTACATGTCCTTTGCCTAATCAGACATGGCCATGAATTTCTCTGATGGAGTCACCTTTGGACACATGAAAACCAAGCATCAAACACTGCTAATTCAAAGGCCAGAAGCCCTTCAGGTTACGTGCTAACTGCAAACTTAAAAAACACACAACTAGAGAAGGTATGGAACTCTGGCCAGCTAGATTAAAAGAGAAGACAGAGTAACTGTCCATAGACACATACCTCTTCCGGAGAGCTGTTCCCAATTCACCAACCAAATCCCGATGGGGCCCCACGTCCTGAGAGTTCCAGTTCCAAGACACAGGACTCGGCCAGTTTGTGAAGCCTTCATGATGCTTTGTCGTCAGGACTACATACCTGTGGACATCAAAACCATGTGAGCAAAGGAGTAGGCAGTGGGCAGGAACTTGTCCAGCATGTCCGAGGCTTTTAAAATGCCTGGGAGAACCTGACTACAGGGAATGTACTTGTGCGAGGGGCTCCATTAGCGATACCCAGGAAGCTGCTACCATCATGACTCCTCTTGAGTACTGCTCCAAGAATGGAAGCAAACTTG